AACGTAATACCTGTATACTGTACTATGTATGTATAACGGTCAAAATTCAGTCTATTCAGTAATGGGGAAAATTTTAGTCTTGCTTTTTTTTAATTTTTTTTATTGTTTTAAAAAAATCAACAGTTTTCAAATTCTCTCATAAAAGTAGTTTTTCTCTTGTACAACATGTTACCGAGCTTTAGAAAAATAAATTAAACGTTTAACTGATGTGATAGTGCCATGGGATTTCATATTCTTTTTTAAGTATCTCATTCTATTTACCTAATAAATAACGTGTCAATGAGCCAGTCTATATTCTAATGACAGCAACCAAATTCGGATATGGAACGAGGGGTATGACTGAAATAAGCAAGGGAGATTTTTTGGCGCTACGGGCGGAACGGAAATATTTTTGCAAAAGAGGCAAAACGTATGCTTATTCATGAAAATAATTAATATATAAGTAATAAAACAAATTAAATGAGTGAAAAAAAAGTTTAAAAAATATTTGCAAATGGTTGTTTTGAAGGATTTTGTGACGATTGTTCTCTTTTGCCTAGATTTTTTATTACATTTATTGGTTCTATACCTAAATTCATTGTGTTTAATCAAGTAGTTTAATCTTTTATAAAAAAAAGTAAACAAAACGTTACAAAGAATTGATTATATTGAACAATTAATTCATAACTATTTTTTGATATTACAGACATATTTTTGCTATTTGTAAAATAACAGAACAGTTCGGCCTCAAAATCATACGCACATAATGCAATTCGTATCAATATATAAATGGACATATTTTCGGCGCAACGGACGGATATATTTTTCTTTACCCATGTGTTTGTCTTCAATTCATTTCAATACCATATATTGCATTTTTACTTGATATCCAATTTATTTTGCTTTAACCAGACCTTTCAATCTTTGTTGCAACAGACAAACATTTCAGAATTTCAGACATGGCTTCACTTTGTGAATTTATGCATTAGGTTCTCCTTTTTCACAAAATATGCAACTTAATTATGAAGAAAATATTATTAGTGCTTTGGATATTCAACTGTAGTACATAACAATTCACAAGGCTGATTTTGTACATTACCTGATACTGTTTACATCATTTGGCAGCGTCTTTGATATGAGCTATGAAACAATAGTATTTAGATTTAACGTACTATTCGATACAAAATCAAAATCCTTTTTGTTTATTACTTGTTGTCTTGTTCATACTTAAATATCATATTTAAATTTGATATGCTTTATATTTGGGGCCAAATAGTACCATTTACGGGAAAAACTCTGATCATTATTCGAAGTTGAAGTTGTAGACGCCAAGGCCAGTCCCCAAGCGTATTCTTTCACGAACAATAAAACACCAATGTTTTATTATATAAACTAAGATTCCAAGAATACAATTCAGAATTTAGAGAATGGAGTGACACGTCAGGAATATGTATCTTAATGATGTACAGTATCAATTACCTGACTATCTGAAGTAAGTTGCGACATTAAACAGTTACAGATCAAAGTTCATCTATTCATATTGGCAATTATCAAAGACATATACATTTTAACAGTTATCGGCAATGTTTTTAGAATCTTTATAGACCCTTTCATTTAAGACCGTATTCAAGTTGTCGCCCTTGGATGATGTCATTGGGGGATACGGTGGACATTGCCGATACGATTAAGTACATTTATTTGTTTTAAGAGTAGACCATATGGCTGGGTAACTGATCATGATTGCCATTTTCGTTTGATTCCTAATAATGAAAATTTAACCAGGCAGTTAATCGCACTAACTTGCGGCCTGTATAATATAATCCCCCATAATGTATCTATGTCTCTGCTTATATACAATACGTTAGTATTCTGTAGTTTCGAAACACGGCAGCGTAATAAGTAATTGCAAGATACTGGTTGATTAAAATTATTTTGATTTAAGCATTACTAAGACAAAGAAAAACAACAATATAAATCTATGTAATTTCAAAAAAAAAATATTTAGGCATAAAAAGTAAAAATTATTTTGAATGTACATGACAGTATACTGTTTGTGTCAACAAAAAATGCGCTCTCAATAAATCGTCAATCACACCATATATTTAAATATCCTTTATTACCTCCCTTTATTTACATGAAATGTTAAATTCGGTTATATCTTTATAAATAATGCTTTTTGGAACCTACAATATTGATAAATCTTAATTCGAGCATCATATTTATGATTTAAAACCATAAAACAAATGTGTTACAGGATCTTTAAGCTGGTAAAGTGATAATTTCAACTTGATACGTTTTTAATTCAAACTCTGCTTATCAAATATTTAAAAAGAAATCACTGAAAAACAAGTTGTGAAACACGTACCCAGAAATTCGTTATTAATAACTGAATTATAATTTTACGTTTATTTTGACTGTGCCAGTTGGTAGGACTCTGAGAATCAAATCAGTAAGGCATAACCTAGGATGATCCATAACTAAATTCAGACTGTAAATAGTTTAGCAACGAACAAAAGTGACGTCTTCTGATGTAATGTTATATATCTTAAAATGCACCCTGGTGGTTTATGATATCACAGCCAAGAGTCGCTTGTATATACAACATATGCACCTTGTTAATTAATATGTTACGGCCCAGTGGCGCTTATATATTGTCCAACAATATTGGCCTGGCACTTTATTAACTTTCGTAAAGGTCACTTGAATAAACACTGACCTATATCTATCGAATATATCGATATATTTGCTAACATCACTGATCAGTGAGATGTGGTGTATTTGAATAGATGTCGGACTACCGATCTGAAGGTCTCTGATTCGATTCCTTACCAACACCACGGTGTTTTTTTTTTTTAATTTACTTGCAAGAACTAATTTGAAATCGATTTAGAATGCCATTTTAAGGGGTGTTTTCGTACACAATTATATTTTTATTTCTTTAACTTTATTTCAACAATTCTTTTTGTGACATTATATGCAATCGTATATGCTTTAGCGCATACAGGCTATAACTTATTAAAAATACTACACTGAAAGAACACAAAATATAAAGCTTTGTAACAGTTTTAGGAGTGGTTATTTCAACATTAAAACAAAAACAATATATGAAAAGATACAAACGTACCAGTTTACGTCTACAATCTACAAGTGAAACACTTTTCCAGGTTTTTAATATACATCATTTTAAAAATTGGATATCTATATTCATAACGATTTACAAGTTGATCGTAAAGTTTACGGAATATCACGACTACAGGGTCAAATGCAAGAGTGCCAGGTCAATGTTATTGGACAATACACACATCTTTTTTGACCTGGCACTTCATTAATTTCCGTTAAGGTCACTGGATAAACAATATTATCTTACGAATATATCGATATATTTGATTATTTGTTACCTTCACTAGTCAATGACTTGCGGTGTATTGGTATAGATGCCGGACTTCTGATCTGAAGGTCTCTGGTTTGATACCTTACCAACACCACGTTTTTTTATTTCATAACTTTAGTTTTCATTATTAGATAAAACATACAGCACGTCTATAAAACAAATTAAAATTACTACACAGATAAAATACACAAAAAAATCAAAACGTTTTGCACGAGTTTAGAGAGAAATGGCAATTTTAAAATAAAAAAAAGAAATTTTTAATTTTTAATCTCAATCTTTTTTTATTGTTTTGATATTAAATTTATGCATGCATTAGTAAATTTTTACATGTTATACGCATAATTGAACGATCAGTATTTACGCATTTAACTTTTCAATAAGCTAACATTCTATGCGGCCTGTATAATATAATTCCCCCATTTACGTCACATCCGTTAAAGGTAGTAACTCTTCACTGACTGTTATCGCTTAAATGAAAGGGTCTATAATGTTACTAGACAAAAATACTTCTGAGGCATATTGTGCCTTTAATCTGCAACTCATGCATTAGACACCTTTACAAAGTCAATCCTTTGTCAAGAGCAGATCAATTTTAGTTATGAAATGTGGAGCATGTAGGACATTGCCGTACATTGTATTCAATTATTAACAGGAGCAGTGAGACGTTATTGTAGGTGCAAGTATGACTAAAATATCGAAACAAAAAATAAACGTTAGAATACAAATAAAGTGCAGGTAAATTTTATTAAAAGCCTCTCCAGTCGGTCACTGAGGTGCAATGTGTGTTTGCAATACAGAATGTGGTTTTTTTTTTTTGTTTTTTTTTTTTTTTTTTTTTTTTTTTTTGAGGCCCTTTAAAAGGTAACCCCGTTTATTTGAACATATATAAATACATATATATATAAGCATACATACAAAGACACAGTTATATTTTAATATAATATATAAACTGTATTTAAAAAATAATAATACATAATCAATTATACAATGTCTACATTCACATACTTATCATGAAATGAAGAAATTAAAATATATTTCAAACTTTGTCAAAAATATCTACCTTGTTAACAATGTTTTGTGTTTCTCTCCCGATTTGGTATTGGTACTTAATATAATGCTTAGTATCCTCAATAGACGTTTTTTTTTTTAAATTCATTTTACAATGACATATTTACATGTACTTCTTTACAAATAAAAGCAAAAGATTTGTTTCATAATCTGCATTTTGTAAGCCTAAAAGAAATTGTATTCTTGTTAAATGCAAATGAGTATTTTCAAAACGACCATGAATCATTTCGCGAAAACAACTTCACAGTCCCTCTAGCAGAATGTTTTCTTTGCTTTATTTATATGGTTTTGAAAAATGCATTTCTTGTAATTGTTCAAACAAATGAATATTTTTGTATGATATAAACTAACAAAACACCTATACGAATAAGCACTGTTTCATTTTTGCATAGTTTTGTGTGCAAAATCTAGAAAAGTGGGTGTTTTTGTAAGCCGATAAAAAACACTCCATTTTTATCAATTTATGGCACCCTTTAAAGTATGAATGATTGTGTTCACAATAACTTATTTTTCTATATTTTCCTGTACAAAACCATCAAATTAACAGTATAAACTATCTTTTAACAATTGTCTTTCCTTGTTATGTTTTCGATTCCGCCTTAATCATAGGAACATTTCCCGATTAATCTCGTTATTTATTTTGACTGGGTTATCCCAAATATTTGCGTTTTATATTATTTGCGATATCTTAACGTCAAGAATAGTAGTTATATTTGTTATTTAAATGTAGTTCTATATAAAAAAAAGGTTTTCATTTAAATTTATTAAGGTTAATATAAGTTGTGATAAATTAGCTTTTTAGAAAAAAAAATATTTTTTTTGAAGTTCCTTTGAAGAATACTTCTCAATCTTCATTCCTTTTACATAATATATCGAATCTAATGATTATATTTTCTTCAATGGCATGCCTTCTCTTGATGTGAGATAACAGAACGATACTTTCTGAGCAGTTAAAAGGCGATCGTAGGCTCGAGGACTGACTCAATAAATTTATTGATGATTCAATTCTAAATATGAACGCTTATCATACATTTCTATCGATTTGTTTTAAATAATCTACAATCAGGTAGTCATAGTTACAATACAAAAAGCTTACAGCATTTTTAAAGACGATTCTCGCATTTCCAGTAGCATATTTTTTGAAAATCTCATTTTTAACCTCTCGGCACATTTTAATGACTGAAACAAAGTAAGTCTGTACATGTGTTGCAATGATAGATACATAGTTTATTAAACAAAAGGTTACAACCCATTAGTTTATACAATACAAAAAATCTTACAATTACAATTTGCAAAACAATAAGCCAATGGTGGCTGTCCAAACATCAGAAAAATAAACAATGTTACAATTTTTACATACATATATGCAAAACATATAGAAAACACAGGAAAAATAGCATAGTCACTGCTGACATGGTAAGGAGAAAAATAAGGTTTGAAATAACATCTGATTTCTCCATTCGAAAGATTTAAATACCAAACTTGCTTATTGTTTAAGTGTATATTCATTTTCTGTTTTCATAAGTTCAATAAATTTCGATATATTAGGATATTTCTAAAAATATTTGTCAATGTATTTTATTCTTAAGTTTTTATATACATTGTACACTACACTCCAATAAAAAATAAAACTCGTCTTCAAGAGTTTTGCATACATAACATTTTTTTCATTTCTAGGTATTTTATTTGGTTTGTGCCATCGGCCTGTTGAAATTGCTAATCTGTGTGCTGACAATCGGAATCTTGTTAATGCAATTCGAAATTTAACCACCTGTATCTTTTTTAAGTATTCTTTAAAACCAAACTCTGAAAATAACCTATAAAAAGATGCCCGTATTGGGTCAATGATACCAATCATGAAAGTCAAATTTTGATAATTTGTTATGATTATGGCTTTTTTAGTATACCCCGGTATATTCTGATAGTTGTTTTTGTTATTTCTCTATTTTTTATGTTGTTTCAAAAGAAGTGTCAAAATTCACACGAGAAAATGCCACAAAGATGTTCATGAAGTGAACAATTCATCCTTTAAAAACGATCTGTACCTGGAAATAAAACACATAAAATAATTAAAAAATCTGGAAAAAGAGTGATCCCTCGAAGGCATTACTCAAAATGAAATTACGAAAACGTTGCGGACTCGGTTTGTTTGAGTCTGTACATGTTGGATAATGAAAAAGTGCAACATCACTTATGTACCCTGTCATCGGCTTGAGCGGTTCTCAATTTTCAACAATTAAAAGTGTTGGAATCAATAATTCCAAACGACTAAAAAGATAACAATACTAAAGTAAAGTACGGGGCATTTTAAAACAGCTGCAAGTTGAAGATTAACGTATTATAAAACATAATATAAAGAGACTCAACTGAGGATTTTTGACATGATTTATCGAGATGTTTTGTACTATTTGACTTGTAGCAATAACTTGTGTTCATTCATTCCCTTAGTAGTTTTTTTTATTTCAGAATTCTTGAATGAAAAGTGTTTGAACGTGTTTACCTATAACATGTACAGTATGAGTTATAAAGATTTTTGACAAATAACCTGACAGGAATATTTATAACGAATTTATAATACAGCAAATTTTCTTTTTTGAGAAAAAAGTGAGATTTCTCAGAAAATTGACAACAGTCGTGTATATAAAACTTTATAATATTGCAACGTCACTTTTCATTGGTTAAACGTGACGTTTATATAGTTTTATATACACGCTTGCTGTCAATTTTCTTAAAAATTTCATTTTTTCTCAAATAATGAAGTTTGCTGTATTATGAAGACAGGTTATGTGACCTAAATATACGGCTGTTGCCATTTAACCCTCGCCTAACCGTTGGGGTTGTATTTCCAAATACCCATTAATAAAGTCCATATAAACTGTCAAAAATATTATCTCTTATAATGTAAACAACACGATTATCCAATAAAAAATGACGTTACAAATGTGAAGTATTATAAGTAAAATGATACATGCTTGTAAATTTGCAAAATAAAATATGTTTAAACTAACATGTGCATGTGTCAACTACTGCTTTTGATATTTTTATTGTTCTTCATTTTACTGATGGTTTATTTTTATTTATCGTTTTCCTGGATTTATTGTTTCTAATACTTTTTATAAGATAATTACACGCTGTGTGTTTATACTTCTCTTATTTTTATTATATATAATTCTATATAATCATGTGTCGGTGTTCAATTTTATCCGATAACAACGATTCAAAGTGTCACATAAATCAAGCTCAATTACTTATATATCGATCGGGGTACAATATTAAAACTACTTCCAATATATACTTTAAATTTTTTGCCATTTGCATTGTTAAGAATGTCGATTCTTTCTGTTTTTAAGTAACTGAAAGTGTTCGTATTTTGAAGTAACAATTCCCTTATTGTTAGATCTGAGAAAAGCTTTGCTGACAAATAATATAAACTTTTGGAATTAAACATGTAAATATTGTGATGGATTTCTACAGTATTAAAATAAGTCAAATTAATTACCTTCCTAAACTCTTGTCCGATATAGATTTCCACTGTCGGGGCCTCCACATTTTTGACTCGTATTACCTACACAAGTCATGTTGCATCTGGACTCTGGTATCTTCTCGGCGATGGCGAAATTTACATCTGCACCGCACCAGCATTCGTTGGCATACTAAAATTAAAAATTAAAATATCGATGCATGAATTGTAAGATGGTGAAATTTTAACAATTATTCGGCTTTGTAATTGAAAAAATTTTTAATATAGACATTTATAATAAAAGGGATAAACTTACATAAAAAGTATCAATCTTACACTATACAATGTATGTATCAGACGTTTTTGTTAGCCACCAAAATTTCAGCATTTTAGCGAGTTTTTTGTTAGTTTTTTTTTTTTATGTCTTTTTTTTAAAGTTTTTTTCACCATTCTAAAATAGTTTCAGTTATATTTAAAAGGTCAATAAATGATTAGTTAATCAAATATAAATAATCATTCAATCATATTAACATACGTATCTGTAATCTAATATAAAGAAAGAGAAAATAATGATCGTAAGGCTGGGTACGGTTCGCTGTATTTCAGCGATGATGTTTTGAAATAAACTGCGGACTCCCTATTAAATAGCAGCCTATATATATAGCCTATCACCAGATTCATGCTAATTTTCATGAAAAAATGTACTTAAAAGTAAAAGTAAATAACCATGAAGTGGTCGAACTAAGCAAACATAGCCCTTACTGCGTTTGTAACGCAGTAGAAATATTGAGATTTACACTGCAGAATCAGTGCTTAATCGCACATGACATATAAATTACTACTTGAACCTTAAATATTGTTCGTTAATAAAAATTATTTGGTACATTTTTCACAAATTTAATTTTCTTGAAATATTTTGAGTCACCTGCAGGCATGAAATTTTAATAAGAATAACATTGTTGAATCTGATAACGAATTATTCATTGGTTGAAATGTTACCGTAATGAAGTTGAAGGGCTGAATTTTGCAAAATACCTTCAATTTATTTCATTTAATAGAAATGATTTTGAAATAATATGAATCTCAACATTTCTTTAAATGTACAATGTTTAAAATTTCACAACTGTAAGGGTATATTTTAAGTCCTTTAATCTTATTTTTGACAGAAATTTCAAATTGAATATTATTTCACAAACACAACTTACTTCAGTCATTGAAAAGGGTAAGCCCTTGTTTCGACAAAGTGTAAGACAGTTTTCTGTTGATTGACTTGGAGATCTGTGCATATCAGCCAGAATCCTCGGTTTGTCGTTATAGCAACCGATGTATTGATCTAAATCCATCCAAAAATATAACACTGATTTGCCATTAATTTAGTACTAAAGAAAATGGTACTGCATTTTATATAGACTGAAGAAGACAATGAACATAGAGGCAGAAACAGAAAATTTAAACTTATTAAGGGGAATTTCGTCAAGTCTTGGAACAATTCTATCAAGAAAATACTTTCAATTCATGAATGATTAAACAAAAATACTGTTAAATAATCGACATTACTTGAGAAAGCGCTATTAAAGCAAATATAGACCAAATTATGTCGCATAAAATTTGAAACCATGCAACGGAATAAAGTTACAATATGAATTTTAAATCTAATGGCATGTTGCTTTTCACAGTTGTGTACTATCTGATATCCTTAAATTCACTTAAAGAGCAAATAAACACACTTTCACGGTACAAAACTTAAAGCATAAGAATATGAATTCATTAATTTCTTTTAATATATTTTTTTATTTTTGCAGTCTGTCTAAAAGAAGTTCTGTGAACTAGTTTAATTTTCGTTCTTTGCCTTGGTTTACAATGGCAGTAGTTTAGTTAACATTTTTTAGCAAGCACAATAACTATTTTTCAACAAAAGAAAAAAATTGTCATTGTTGACATTTTTGTGTCTGTCATATTCACCGGATTCCTTATTCGTGAAATATTCAATCAAACATTTTAACGCTAACATTACAAATAATAAATATCTTCGGGGATTTTTAATTTAAATTGAAAAAGAATCTCACAAAGTTTGTTTTCTTTAAAAGGGATAATTAATATTATTTTTGACTTCGGGGACAGGGTAGTGAGATAAAGCAATTTTGCAAGAATTAAAAATAATACCTTTTTTTCTTCTTCTTTAACTGAGGCAAAAAATCTAAAACACAAAGTAATAAAGTACTTACATCCACGTTTTTTGTAGAATACCGAATTGCTCTGTGAAGGATCAGTTTCTCCGGTGAAGGAAGTACATCCCGTACATTTGCCGGTATCAGGATAAAATATCGTTCTAGAACAAGTGAGGTCAATCCAACATCTGAGTGCACATGCTGATTTAGATTTACTGCTGGTCATCTTAAAGGATATGTTCTCATCCAAACATTTGTATCCTTTTAAAGCCAAATAAAATCTGAAATTGCCTTCAGATCTGCGTAGAGATAATTGAAAAATTAAGAAAAGATATATCAGAATATTGCTATACCCCATTGTCTTTCTTTTACTCTTAAAATTCGAACAAGCTGCTCTTGTTATCAACCGGGACTGCTAGCAATCAATATGCACAAACCTTAGACATTAATTATTCATTATGACATTTGTCGTGTAAACAAATAGAAACTCCACTTTTAACATACTTATTTTATATATATTTACATATATAAAATGTTTTCATGTTCATATTATTAAAAATTCACCCAATGCCAGCTCACTGTTACAAAATATTGACTGACTGTGCTACAAAGCTTGTATGCGCTTTGATACCAAGCGGACTCATGTTTGCAGTTTTTACGAAATATAATGGAAATAGTACAAAAATTAACATGCTGATACCTTATTACTAATATCCAAATTTTGAACATGGCAAATTTTGGACGATATGAACCCCATATAAAATATAAAGTGAACATAATGTGAACTAACAGCTTTAATAGTGATTGTCTATTAGCAACGATTTAACAATGGTTATACATTTAAAAAATGTTAATGAATATCAACACATGGTGAATTTAAAACTTGGGTTATGATATAGATGGCCTTACAACGATTACCTGTCAATAGAAATGCAATCTTCTTCAATACAGATGTAAATGATTTGGTCAAGGTTGTTTCTAAGGGAAATATTTCGTAATCCTAATGGTATCATTACTAAGTGATGCAGAGCATAGCAATTTTGTTTACACAGAATATTTATTTAAGTTTAATAGAGTAGATACATTATTCAAAACCTTTCCTGAAGCCAACCAGTACTAAGCGATGAAAGATAAGTGTTATGTTTCAGGAAGCATCGACCCGTCTCTTACGGGCTTTTGATGTCACACTGCCGGCCGACGTTCTTTGATTTTTTTATCAACTAGCATTATATACTATTAGTGTCAGAATGTATAGTGACTATACCGTCAGCATTATAGAAGAGTCAGCAAATAATTACAGGGTTGGGAATCAAAACTGCGTCGTATCCTACAAAATGTAAACAAACGCCGCCATCTTGTTACGAAATAGGTATGTTTTGTTTATGACTCTTTTTGTTGGAAATGACTGAAAACTAAATATATGTATTAACACACTCCACTATTTTCCGATTCGTTCGGTACATGTTGATTTCACAACTATTTTGTCAAATAAAAGTGATAGCTAACTTGCAACTCGAAGCGGGCCAGAATTTATATGGAGCTTGGTACGACACAGTTCATATTGCTTTATCCGCTGTTTTAATATTCAAATCAAATATATACTTGTTTCAGAATTAACCATAGATTTCAAAATATAATTTTACATCATTTACTAAAATTCCATTAATATAGAAATGTTTAATATTTTAAAGACTTGTATGATTTGTACGAAAAGATTCGACGCAATTGGTAAGAAAATATGATACGACGCAATTGATTTTTTGGCAGTCTTTACAACAGGAATATTTTTGCAATATAAGTCATTTTACCAAATAATCATCTGCGCTTGATAAAAAACCTTACCATTCACGGTTTATAGCAATGTTCTGTTGCTTTAAATATTTAGAATATGTTGTTTCATTTCCAATAAAAAATAATTTGAAAGTTTAAATTGTGGAAGCTACGTTTCAGATAAGCATGAACATGTTAATTAATTTATAATAATATCTTAATTAATTTCTTATAGTAAATGTTATAAAAATATGTTTTTGGATGAATATAGAAATTTATGACCTCTAGTCACAAAATTCTTTTTGATTTGGCAAAATGTTGCACCTGCAGAGAACCATCGACATTTGAAGCTAGCTCGATCTGCTTTCCACAATGAAGAATCAAAAGTGAAAACTGCGGCGTGTGTTTACGTTTTGTAAGATACGACGCAGTTTTGATTCCCAGCCCTGAAACAGGTAACCTAAATAACGTTCCACGAGGAAATAATTGATGCATTTGACGCAGTTGTTCCTAAATATAGATGACAATATCTCTCAATAGTCTACCAATTAGAAGTACAATGTGTAAAACTTGACCTTAAATGTAATGGCTAACGCCAAACCTTAGAATACTCAGAATTTCGAATGCCTACGTTTTATTAAACTCAAATGATGAGATATTATTTTCATTGCCTTCACATCTTTACATATTATCTTAAAGGCACGTTTTGCATCAGCAATTTATAATATTTTCCTTCTGTGAAAGGGAAAATCTATGTATATATTTATAATGTTAGATTGGTCAGTCTTTGAAACGTGGGAATTTTTTGAAACGTAACTCTGACTTGTAACATGTATTTATTGATTGAACCGAAGATGTAGTGTTATACGGTGATGTGGTGCCGTCTATGGGCAGGCTGTCCTACATTTTCAATTTTGCCGTTTTGGATTTTCTTTAGAATTTCTATTTCTATATATTGCCACGTCATCGTTGCAGTGAGGAGGCCGTAAAATTTCGACCCGTACTGAATCAGAGATGTTTTATATCCGATGCTCGATTGTCAAGCACGACATCATTGTTGTGTTTGTCGTAATTTCAGTTATATCTATTTGGCTTTTCTACTTGGGCCGTTCTACTTCTCCTTACTTGAAAACAATTGTATCATCCTTAGGATATGCAGCTTGCTTTTTAAATTTGCCTTTCGATAGCTTGTCTGTAATAACCAGGCTCCATTACCTCTGATCTCCTTCCCATTTTGTTTAGTTTCGCCAATGGTTTTCTCGTTTAGGGTACACTTATTCTTTAACGTCGGAGCCACGCGCCGCTTTTAATGGAACACCTCTTACATGTATATGTCAATTTTTAAGTTCAATGATAACCGCCGCATGAATACATCTGCAGATGTTTGCGAATTTTCAATTCTACAGTTATTTGTCAAATTATTGAATTCTCCTTGGGCGGGAGCTGGGGACTTGGACTTGCACTTTTCATTGCTGTCCATGGACGGGTTTCATCGATCCGAGCTTGCAACATTTCAAATTTGCCGGAACGGTTATCTATTTTTTTATTTGTTTAAACTAATTTTACCCTTTCACGTTGAACAAAAGTTTTAAGTCTTTCTGAAAGCGTTTTTTCTGTAGCAAGCTTTGCTACACACATATAAAGAACAAGATGCTTTTGATTTTTAAGGGTACAAAGCATTCAGTCGCCGAGGCATTGTACAGGTACAGGCACCTGTCTAGCATGGTTGACCAGTCGTCCTTTTAGTACATTTTGGTTGACTGTCACGCCAATATTTAGAAACAACAAGTGTAACTTAAAACTGCTGACAAGCAGTTATCAACTACTAGGTCTTGTTTGAGACATATACACAACTTTACACAAATGCGGACTTAAACTCGAACTGGAGAAATATGCAGAACAGGTACGGTCTTGATTGAAGAACAATTGTCGCATCTACTTATCTCGTACTATTAACATGTCATTATGTCAAATGAGAGTGTTAAGTGTAAATTATATAAACCATTTTATTTCATTCTACAAAAGATAATTAATCACTATGAGTTTTAGACGACATAATCTTTAAGAGTTATGTCTCTATTGTTATTCTTTAGTGTGTAAATTTCTTTACTCTTTACTCCAATGTGAAAACTGATTGAATCTTATAATGACGTTGTTGCTCATGGTTTCATCTTTTCAGTCAGAAATACAACAGAATCTTTGGTATTATATCATTGCTGACACCAAATAGACTTGTTTGTCAGACTTATGTACTAAAAACCTAGAAATATTCAACTTAATACTAACATAATCGTTATATTCGGTGATGTCAAACATTCTTGTTTTTTACAATCTGACACCATCCTGTCTCTTGCTTAAACTTAACATACTAGTAGATAAGCCACAATGGTTATATATCCGAAAATGACAATTGCCGCTGATGGGTTGCCTGTTAGGGTTGAGGAATCATATTTTAGCCACCTTTCATCCATGTGTAATCATAAGGGGCGACTACATTGGTTCGAGTTTCTTGAGTCAATGCATCTCTTAGCTGCAGCAGGTGAGCTGGTTTTGACACCTGATTTTGCTTTTAGTTCGTAACACACGAGGTTAGCCAAAGTCATCTTTCCTGTTTTCGGCGAAATATGACCTAGATTGTGTTGTTATGCCGTAATAACAAACTAAAACAACACACAAAACGGAAATGGCAATGTAAATAACATACATTCTTTTTTAGAATTTTATAGTAGTCAATAGTCATTTGTTCGGTTTGTTTCTGACATTGTATGCCATTATATCATTATGTGTTGTATGTTGTTCTGTTCATTTTAAGATGCTCATCAGTTAGCAACTATATGATATATTTCTGTTAAACCTTAGTTTAAAAATTGACAATTACTACATGAGTACTTTCCCTAAACATGATCCGACATTTCCCATTTTTTCTTCATAATGGAACAGAAACAGAGCTGTAGAAATGGCCATTAATGACCATAGATTTATCATTACAGGGTCATGTTGTGCAGGAATTGTTAGTTTCAGGATGACAAATATGACTTCAAATAATTTATTATATCTTGGTGTAGTTTAAGCAGATATTTTTATTTATACACAACGTAAAGGCACACTTGGTCTCAGATTTGTCTAGCACAACAACAGACGACTTTCTCAAAGAATGACGTCATACCAGCACATAAATTAGTTTTTTTTTTAATTCCTCCATTGAATAATTTTGGTGTGTTTAGCAAAACAGTTTATGGTTTTTTTTCTTTAATAGTACATGTACATTCCCGGTATACTAACCTAGTGATAAAAAGCAGACGATTTATTTCTCAATAAATGACGTCATTTCCGTTGCATTGTAATAAAACACGATCACTTTTATGCAAATCTTTGTGTATTTTACAATATGAAAATTATATTCTAGATATGCTACCAATTCTCAACATGTCAGATATCTAATAAAATTGATATAAATCTAAAAAAAATGAGATTTTGTTGATACTTTTGCTACAAAATAAAACAAGCCGTATAGTTAAATTATACATTATAGTATAATTAAATTTAATACCGATTTATAAATAATGTTTAAAGCAGCATGCCTCCAGATTCATTCTAATTTTCATGAAAATTTTGAAAATGTATTTGAATGTGTAATATTGTGAAGTAACCAAAAGGAAGCAATTTACACATTATCAATGGCACTTACAAACCTCGTAAAGTACCAAAAGTGGTCAAAATATGCATAACTAGCCTTTACTTCGTTAGTAACTCAGTAGAAATATAGCTAAAGATACTGAAAAATCAGTCATAAATTGTACATAATATGTAAAATATTACTTGAATCTTGAAACTTATTACTTTTCCTTACATCTTAGTACAATTTTCTCAAATTTGATTTTTATGAAATATTTTGAAGGTATGCAGCCTTAAAGCAACAATTACAACTCCTTATGAATGACATATCTTTATGAAGTTTCAAAGTACAGATTCAACAAGCTTGTCGTGGCAGACTGAAGGTTTGGTTAAACTCTTGGTTGAAGTATCCACTATATGCAGAATTGTGTACTTGTAATATAATCGAAAATAAATCTAGACTATATATTGTAAAAACACATTTAACAGCACGTAGGTCTGATGTATATGACAGACTGACACTTCAGACGGACGTCTTCTTCAAAATGTTATTCATTGCTTTTTGCGAATTGAAAATATGTGATTTCATAAGGTCCTCACTGCAATTTTGCTACTTCTGGGCAGATTCTGGACTTTGTCGAGTGATATATATTCCTTGACTTTTGGTAGAGATTCAAACCTATCAATGAAACTCTGTAGCTTCGGGAAGGCATTCAAACAATCAGACTGCAACCGTCGAAGAAAATCAAGAAGATCATACATCGAAAAATCGGCTGCTGTTATCTTAAATAATCGAATTTAAATAATCGAATCAATTTTGTTTTAAAAGACATATTCATAATCTTGATTTGTACAGTAGCATAGCCACATTAGATTTTAAAGTAACATTATGCCCCATCATAGGTGCAGTTTTTATACTTTATCCTTTCAATTTTTACTACGATTATTTGTCATTGACCATTGATACAGTTGCTAACGAAAAATTAGCATAATGTCACGTTTAATATAATCATTTTAATTAGACATGGAAAAGTTGTCGCCGTGAATATAACAAAGAATAAGTTTCGTTATAAATTAGCAAACAAAATAAATAAATAAATACATTTCTCGTAAAAAATGTTAAAAATAGTCAAAGAATAATTCTCGTTAAAAATAAAACAGAGAATAAGTTTAGTTTTAAATAAATAAGAAATAGTTTTTGTTATGAATAAAACAAATAATAATTATAGTTATACAAGTTAATAAACATGGAAAAATTCTCGTTAAAATAAAAGAAAGAATACTTTTAGTTATAAATAAAAATGAAAAGAGAGAAAAAAAACAAGAAATAATGAGCGTTCTAAGCAATGATTTATTTACGTTGTAAAAAAAAACAAGCACTTAATCTCGTTATAAATAACCAATTACCAATTACTGAAAATGAAAAAAGTTTGTCCGGAACAAACAGTCAATTATAAATGTTAGGGATACCTCGATGGATAGTTAGAAGTTGATCTGTCAACAGTATATAGTACGGACTTGAAGAATGGTCTGGTTCAATACTTATAGTCAAAGATTTACAGATTCAGCACGGTGAAGTTTGATAAAGATAAACTTACAGCGTCCCCAGCAAACCAGTCATTTACACCTAGATGATTCTCAAACTGTTTTAGTTTTGGCGGGAGATTCTTAAAGAAATCTGGTTTCAACTTCTCCTAGAGAATGAAAAATAGAATAAAAAAACTTATTATTGTAAAGATCAAGTAACGTTTATGAAACCCAATGCCCTTCTTATTACACTGGGAATACAAAGTGATATTCATCTTCAATATCTTTAGTGTTACAAAATAATATATTTCACTGCGTTGTTCTCTGTTTTGCCCATTCCTACTTATATGCAGATATTCTAATTTTTGTAATGTAAAATCTTAAAACCAAGGTAATGTATCGAATTGAAATTATACGTGTATTTTTACAATATAGATTAACTTCTACTATTATATTGATATATTCTAATAATTTGATACAGTAATGATATCTTCCCACTCACGTAGTTTTCAACACTTGTATACGTTATTTTGTAGATATTATTCCTGAGATCCATTGCCTCCTCTATAATCATATCTACAACAGCCTTTTCCTTCTCCGTCTCACCATCCAACTTATATTTCCGGGCTACGTGTCTTAAAATTGCGTGACTTTGGGAAATTTTAACATCGCCATCTATGTAATACGGAAGCTGAAAAATATCGTTCAAGTATTTAATTTTTGTATAACAATATGTATTTTCATTATTAAACAACAATTAAAAAGTTTTTTTTCTACTTTTAAGTACTGATAGAATGTCGAAACTTAAAATATGATTTTGCTCACCGATGTCATCTCGAACACGCTAGCTATATGTTACTTCCACTTAAAATGTGTAAAAAAATCAGAGAAAGGGCAACTCCTCTTGTGGAACAGATGTTTTGCAGTGTTCATGTCGCTGTTTGTTTTCATATTTTACGTTGCTTTTTAGGCAGGTTCGGCTATATTCAATACTTTACTTCTTGAACAATACCGGCGTACCTATATATGGCTAACAGCAAGACAGTGTGTACATTCTTGCAACGCATGGCACCTCTTGTTTCATATTTACAAGGAAATACATTCACCTAGCATAACAGTCTTTTTCGAATTATAGAAAAGACCTGTCCATTACACACAATGTATTCGATAATATTTTTATCTGCAGAATTTATAAATCTTAATATTTACACAAGTACACTTACATTGGGAAAGGACAAAAATTCTCCAAACTTTGGTTTTACACTGTACCACGATTCTCTGCTAAAATCCGGCGCTGAAATTCAGGAAAAAGGTTAAATGTAATTACCAATAAGCATATCACGTGACCTTTTTGAACTTGAAAATTACAAAGTAGTATAGTATTTGTTAGTTAAACATTAAGAGTAACTTACAAACTAAGTGACATAAGAAGTGGTGATGTTCAAACTATTATCGTGCTCTATATTTTAAGAAAATCGCTGTCAAAGATTTCCAAACCTATTAATTTGTTGTTGTTGTTGTTGTTGTTTGTTTTGTTTTTTTTTTTGGGGGGGGGGGGGATTTTTGGACGACTTTGGTAAATTTATTGCTATCAAGTCTATATAGGATTTTATCAAACCGTTTTTAAGAATACGCCATGCACTCTCAAGGAAATATACAAACGTATTTTCATGCAGAAATTATAGAATTCTTCAACATTTAAACAATTAAAACTAACTTGTTTTGTATTTCAAAATTATTATTTTTATTTACTACAGGCACCGGATATAGTTTTTTTACCTTAAAGTAAACGAATTGCACGATGAAAAGTGAAAATGAATAAGGACCTCGAACACAATAGTATTAATACACATAACGGATATGTATTTCGGTCGAACATACGCTAAGAAACTAAACATGTAAACAAATATAAAATTAATGCTAAGAGTTGCTGACAAGGTTTTTTACCAATATATCAAGTAAAAGTCAACCTTAAATGAGCAAATTCATTTTGTAATTCATTTTTCAATCATAATTGTACCGAGATAGACTTTATTGCTTTAGACGTCAAATATATACATTCCTTCAAAATATTCGAAGATTACACTCTCTGTTACTGTTAACATCTGAAACCACGAGTTAGAACTACTTTCACTCCGGACTGTTTCCGAGGTTATTATGAATAATAGTCGAGGATGTTCCGACACTATAATCTGCCAAGGGAGGTAACCACAACGAGAAGTTTGGTTTGAATATGGAGTGAATATTTACCAGTAAGGTCGTACCGTACTCAATCAGATCGGAAAAAAACATTGTTGATTGCAGCTGAATACAAACAAATTGTCATATCTTGTTATAAAAAATTTAGGTAATGTTTTAATCAATTTAAAACTTTTTTCCACTTTGTCAGTTACGGGTTATTGAATTAGCTAAAAATCGACCGTACCCGTTTAAACGGATAAATGTGACACCACTAATCCCTAAACTGATGTAAATTTCTCCCAAAAACTCGCATGAATATCCGCTATTTGACGCACAGTAACAGGTTTAATTGAAACATGATATTTACACTTCACTGTAGGTAAATATTTTGGCCGCGTCTACACAACATCGGAGTATCATATTCAATCTAGATAACTAACTAATGATAAATAAGGTGACATCCTTGCGAGCAAAATTACATTATTGCGATAAAACACGTTCTATCTTTCTTCATGATTTTGACTGTCAAGATACTGATAACACCGGTTTAACATCCCAAGCGTGCGATAGTGTTGTCATTTTTAACATTTTTTGGATTTTTGTTTGTTTATTCAGTGTACATGACCTGTTAATTTTCAGTTAATGTTTACAATGTATTTGTCAAAGGATCAAATTAATACACAGAAGAACAAAAAATGAGTTGTTTTTTTTCAAAAGTAGGGATCCTCAATAGGGCTTTTCAAATGATTTTTTTCAATCATCAAATAAATCAAGTAGTAAGCTCAAAATATTTGTTCTCACATTTTCCATTTATTTTTAAATAATGTACATACGTTGTTTTATGCTAATTGCATCATTATTCACAGATTTTACCCGACAGATGCTTTGGTAGTTTAGCGCGGAGGAAGGTAGTCTAGTACTGGTGTAACTCTCCAGGAACGATGGTTAGGAAACTACCCGCCTATATGACTGAAATACTGTTGGGAAAAGGCGTAAAATGAAACAAACAAACAAACAAATAAACACAGATTTTATATAAACATGATAGTCTTAGCGTAGAAAAATGTATATATTCTGGGCAATCTCAATAATATATTTTAGTAAAAAACATGTTGCTGATTATATATTGAAAGGGGCTAAATCGTTGTAAAAATATATATCTACAGATAAACGGGATGATTATTATGACAGGCTCACACTTCATCCTTACAGTAAATGAATACACTTCAGAAAGGAAGTTATGCATAAGGCACCTATAACATGAAAACAATATTACGTAATTTGTTATGAATATCAAATAGTATTTATAACAAATAGAGTAGTATAAAAATTTCAGGTTTACAATTTCTAAGAACCAGAGAACAAAAATTCTTACGAGGCCCTTGTCCGTACTGTACATCTTCAAACTCTACCCCGGCATATGTTAAAAGCAATCGAATCGGCTGTGCTAACTGAAAGTTTAAACCATAACGTAAATTAAATGTTACATTCAGGTATGTTATAAAATATACGTGCAGTGTTGTGAAAGTGGTCTTAATGAGATAACCAAACATAATTATGCTACTTTAGTAAAATATCTACCAATAAATAAATACTTACACCTTTATTTTTCCAATATCCAAGAGTTGGCATTTCTGTTGTACTTGATAATGACTCTAAACCTCAAGCGTCTATTGTGCCGCTGTGATTATGTGAGAGTGACGTTGCATTGTTTGTGTACACAAAAGTTTACTATCTTAAAACAGGTTAAAACAGGTAAAACAGGGTATTAAAGGGCGAATATAGTACAAGATAAATAATAGAACTTTAAATGTTTTGATGGCAAAACTGGACGGTAGAGTCATTGGGATGCAATACAACTTACTTAATTTTTTTCATGAGTTCGTGCCTCACAAGTTGTCGTACATTTTCTTTTTTGTCGGTAGGTCCGTAGACCAAATGATTTCTGATCAGTAAGAACGCATAGGCCTAGGAATTTCAACTTTAGTATGAATAATGTTCATGACCAGTAGATGACTCCTATTTATTTTGAGGTCAATGGATCAATGGTCAAGTCAAATTGACTTTGTAGGTTAAAACGGTTTCCGATCAATGATTTGACAACCAAAGGACCCTTGGCCCTCAAACTGCATAAGTGCATTGATTTAGGCTATAAGATAACCCCTATTGATTCTTGGGTAAAGGGGTCAAAGGTAAATTTTATTGACCTTGTTGGTAAAAAACGTTTTCCTATCAATAACTAGACAACCCATGGGATGTAGGCTCTCAAACTGCATAGGTGCATTGGTCTTGGCCTGTAGATAACCCCTATTAATTTCAAGATCAAAGTCACATTGTACGTTTAAATGGTTTGCGATCAATAAATCAACAACTCAAGTTGCCTTGGTTGATATTTTTATTAAACTAAAAAGTCTTGTGGTGTTCACATTTCAAGGTCCAATATAATATTACAAATTGGCTTTCATTAAGGAGGCCTACAGGATTCATAAATTTTATACATATATAACTAGGTAAAATGTGTGATAACTTTGTCATAACAAGAGCCACCGCCGGGCGGGGGCAACGCTCGACTTTTTACTTTTTCTAAACGCAAACATAGAAAGGTTTGAACATATATTAACGTTTCCTTTTTATAAATTTAGTTTGTCTGTCTTGTCACATTAGTTTTCTTTATATATTTTGTATATATATGAATAGAAACATTAAGCATATTTCTAAAAATAGCAACAGTACGCAATTTCTTAAAATAGCAACATGATGCAATTTCTCAATATAGAAAAAATGACGCAATTTCTAAAAATACAAAAAATGACATAATTTCTAAAAATAAAAAAGTGATGCAATTTCTAAAAATAGCAACAATGATGCAATTTCTAAAAATAGAAAAATTGACGCAATTTCTAAAAATAGAAAAAAATGAAGCAACTTCTAAAAAAAGAAAAAATGACGCAATTTCTAGATATACTAAAATAGAAATTATGACGCAATATCTAAAAATAGAAATTATGACGCAATTTCTAAAAGTAGAAAAAATGACGCAATTTCTAAAAATAGCACCAATGACGCAATTTCTAAAAATAGAAATTATGACGCAATTTCTAAAAATAGAAATTATGACGCAATTTCTAAAAAATGACGCAATTTCTAAAAAATAGCACCAATGACGCAATTTCTAAAAATAGAAAAAATGACGCAATTTCTAAAAATAGCACCAATGACGCAATTTCTAAAAATAGAAATTATGACGCAATTTCTAAAAATAGAAAAAATGACGCAATTTCTAAAAATAGCACCAATGACGCAATTTCTAAAAATAGAAATTATGACGCAATTTCTAAAAATAGAAAAAATGACGCAATTTCTTAAAATAGAAATTATGACGCAATTTCTAAAAATAGAAATTATGACGCAATTTCTAAAAATAGAAAAAATGACACAACGTCTAAAATTAGAAACAATGACGCATTTTCTAAAAATAGAAACAATGACGCAATTTCTAAAAATAGCACCAATGATGCAATTTCTAAAAACAGAAATTATGACGCAATTTCTAAAAATAGCAAAAATGATGCAATCTCTAAAAATACTAAAAATAGAAATTATGACGCAATTTCTAAAAAATAGAAAAAATGACGCAATATCTAAAAATAGCACCAATGACGCAATTTCTAAAAATAGAAATTACGACGCAATTTATAAAATAGAAATTATGACACAGTTTCTAAAAATAGCACCAATGATGCAATTTCTAAAAATAGAAATTATGACGCAATTTCTAAAAATAGAAAAAATGATGCAATCTCTAAAAATACTAAAAATAGAAATTATGACGCAATTTCTAAAAATAGAAAAAATGACGCAATATCTAAAATAGCACCAATGACGCAATTTCTAAAAATAGAAATTATGACGAAATTTCTAAAAATAGAAATTATGACACAATTTCTAAAAATAGAAAAAATGATGCAATCTCTAAAAATACTAAAAATAGAAATTATGACGCAATATCTAAAAATAGAAAAAATGATGCAATTTCTAAAAATAGAAATTATGATGCAATTTCTAAAAATAGAAAAAATGATGCAATCCCTAAAAATAGAAACAATGACGCATTTCTATAAAAAAAAACAAAAAAACAATGACCCAATTTCTCTAAATAGAAACAATGACGCAATTCTATAAATAGAAACAATGACGCAATTCTATAAATAGAAACAATGACACAATTTTAGTTATTGTTGTTGTTGTTGTAAATATATATATATAGACACACACACACCAATAAATATTTAAATATGGTCATTTACTGCAGAAATCTGAGAAAATTCAGTAATTTAACCTTCAAGGTCAAGGTCATTTAAGAGCCCAAGCAAAGTTGGGTTTGATAAACAACAAGGTCTGGTCCTTAAGAATGTTCTCTAATAATATGAAGTTGATCCCTTCAATAATAGCAAAGTTACAGTCAGTGACCGCCAAAACAATGAAAATTTCAATAATTTGACCTTCAAAGACAATGTCATTAATGTGTGAAGGTCAAGGTCTTCCGGTATATCTTTAACAGTAATCTTTGAAGATTATTATGTTCAAGTTTCAGGACAATCCATTCAAAAATAACAAACTTACAGCCAATAAAAGCCAAAAAAATGAAAATTTCAATAATTTGACCTTCAAAGTCAAGGTCATTTATGAGTGAAGGTCAAGGTCTGGCTGGTTATTTTTAAGGGATATCCTTAAAGATTATTATGTTCAAGTTTGAAGACAATCCATTCAAAAATAACAAAGTTACAGCCAATAACAGCATGAACAAGCAAAAATTGGACTTTTAACCTTGAAGGTCAAGGTCATTTACGGATGAAGGTCAAGGTTAGTGTGGTCTACTGAAAGGTCTTGTCCCAAGGGTTGTTGTGGCCAAGTATGAAGACAATACACAAAGAAATAAAAAAGTTATGATCCAGGTACAAGTTTTCGGACGGCAACGGCAACGGCAACGGCAACGGCAACGCCGACCTGACTGTAGCAATACCTCTATTTTTTTTTCAAAAAAAAAAGTCGAGCTAAAAATGCTGCACACAACCTTTTCGGTTACAATGACCTAGTAACTAGTCATGACCAGTAGCTAACTCTTATTGATTTTTTGGTCACTAGGTCAAAAGTCCGTATAATAACCTGACCACATGACTAATTGGTTGCCGAAAAGGGGCATACATGTTTTACAAACATAACTTGTTTTGTTATAATATGTAATAATTTAAATATACCGGTAATAATATTTTATCCTGTGTAGTGTGTAGTATGCAGTAGTCATGGTACTTGTGCCGTGTACTAGTATTTCGTGCCAACAGACCTGCAGTTGAAACAATGTATATGTACATGTATGTATTCATTCCGTTTAGTGTTCAGTACATGGTTGTACCAACTTGCTAGACATTACTTTTGACAGAGAGACAAAAACAGTTTATAGAAAACTACACAACACTTAACACTTCTTTACGTTAAGCAAAAATATAATATATTCGTACTTGGTTATTTATATACAGATATTATTTGCCTGAAAATGTACAATCCGAACCAGTTCTGCATTAGTATTGAACTAAAAGATTAACTGCGTTACGCTGACAGGTGACTAATTTGTTGATATCTTAGTTTTTATCGCAAACCTGCGTGCCTATAAGAATAAACTCGAAATATGATAACTGGTTTACACCGTGATAGAGGACTTGACCACCATATCCTTAACGCACAGTATGCGACAAAGAAGTGTATGGTAAACTTCAAGGTGCATTTCTCATCGACCCATTAGACCATGCGTGTTTTAAAATTGTAAAAGCAGATTGATGTCCCAACTTTGAATGTTCTGTAAAGGTATTACTTAAAACTAACAATCATAAATAGAAATCGTGTAGATCTTTATTAAAATAATTTTTCAGAGTACGACCTAGTTGGAACAGCGCACAGTTAGCTATGTAGATCCTGTAATTTTATTAAAATAAACATATTGGCATAATTATGGTATAACTGTTGTTAATGCTACATCACGGGCGGGCAATTGATATGTTATATGTGTATCTATACCTTCAAAGCAACAAATCAATTTTATTTTGTCTAATATTTCTTTCAAACATAGATGATTTATCGTTTATATAAGCCCATTTCAAATATTTTTTGTAAACAACAAACAAAAATTATGAAATTATGGCACAAAGGGCAAAATTATTTTGTTCAATAATATCAACTGAGGAACGGTCGAATGTCACCAAAAAATGTAAATTTTCACAAACCGATAATATTACTTATCTGCGTGTTAGGGATTTAAACAGAACCAGTGATGAATTGATATGTATTCTATGGCTTGGCATTTCGTTTGAAATATACGCGTTCTCCAATTTAACGCTTTTCAGTTTGCAAATCTTACGTTCGGACTAAAAGTTAAGGTCACGTGATGAGTCTCTGAATGAAAAAGCGGAACAGATAAATTGTGGTGTATTGGCAGCAACTGCGTGGACAGTAGAATATACCAATATTGCATAAATAAAAAAGAAAAATACGACTTTGTTTATTAATTCTTGATGCGCACATATTTTCGTGTTAGAAAAATCATGCAAAAACAATTTATATATATTTAAAGCCTTATATTGTGTAATCATGTTTTTGAATCTCCGTTACGCTGATGAATTTGGTTAAACGTACGGAGTTGTAAACGGACATACACAAACTTTATAAATATGCTTATAAT